AACTCATTGCTTCTCCACCAGATCATGAACACCACGTCGTGTTGAGGGATAAATTACTCTTCTTGCAGGTATGTTTAAAGGTTAAAACTTTACAGCCAAGTGGGCTTTTCATGAATGGGATCAAATCTTAAATTATACACCCTTTAGTGTGTGTGTGTTTTGTTTAGGAGCTTCTTTATGCGAAATGCATTTCTGAGGAAGAGTATACCATTCTTCGAAGAGGCCGTTGCTTCAGAGATTGGCAGTTCAAGGCGCTGAGATTGAAGCCCGAGATGTGATCGTGTCCGGATCGAAAGAGATGAAGGAGAGTTCAGAAGAAGAATGGTCGGTGATTGACTTGAAGGACGAGCAATCATTTATGAACAAAGAGAACATAAATTCAAAGATCAAATCAAAGAATATTAAAGGAGCATCCTCTGTTTTTGGCTTCGTTTCTGCTTACAAACCTGGAAAACAGAACAGAGAAGAGCATATTCGAATCCCCTTCTTTGGGTATGGATTCAAGGAACGAACCAATGAGTCCAAAGGGCAAACAGAGCTCGATTCTTATGGAGGAAAGTGGACCCCCGGAAACCATGAAGGAAGCTCTGGTGCAGAAAAGCTGAAGAGGAAGCCATTCAAAAGTCTGTTTCAGAAGGAACAGAGAGATGGCCCTGAAGCAACAAAAAAGCATCAATGGGGTTTTGATGGGTTCAAAAAATGGAAGAAAAGTGAATCAGAAGATGAAGCACCTTCATCTCAAGGTACCATAAGAACCCTTGGGGAAGGACCAGACACCAAGCTAATTAAGAAGAAATTGCATTCTGATGGCGCCCCATCTGATTTTTTCATTGATAAGGTTTGATGGGGGTCTACCATTTTCATCAAAATCTCTGAATCCCGTACTTTTTCTGCTTGTTGAACCAATTATTGTCTGTGATGAACAGGTTTTGGGGGAGAGGATAAAGAAAGAACTGTCAAGAATCCAGACAGAACTGAGTACTACAAACCCAAGTCTTCAATTTTCGTATGTATTCTCAACGATAATCCATTTTCATTGTTTTTTGAATTTGAAATATATAGTACTTGTTTTCTGATTTGGGGTCGCATGAACAGGAATGATCAAATGGAAGAGATTTCAACAAAACTTCCTGTGGATAAGGCCGAGTTGAAAAACTACTTTCCAAAGTAAGTGAACAAACTTAGCTGTTAATTTTATGCTTTAGCTTACCATCCCATGCGATCTGAACAATATTAAAAGAAAATATGCTTAAGCCGTCTTGAAATAAAATATGAGCACTAGTGGCTGCGGTATTGCTCAGTTATATCATTAGCTAGTACTCGTCCGGTCTAAATGTAAGACTCTTATATACACTAGTATAAGGGTCTTACATTTAGGACCAGAGGAGTATATTATTACTTTATCTTTTTATTGGGCTTTTGAGCTGAATTCTATACCATTTACTTTTTGGGCTGTTTGGTTAGGTCGTTCTTTGAAGTTAATATATGAAAATTATCCACTTCAGGGTATATATATTTTTAAACTGCAAAGTCAAACTTTGTGACTCTTCATACCCTTAGTGGTTGTAACAATTATCCTCATGAAATTCATATTGCATAACTTACTATTCATACTGTCGGTGTTGCGAACCATTTCCAAAATACTACAAAGGGTTGCCTCTATAAACGTAAGAGCTGCCATCCCCAGCTAACCAAACAAATCAAGTTGGGTTACTTCCGATAAATAAATAAAGTGCAGCTATATATGCAAACAAATTTACATCCCCCCCCCCCCAAATCTTGTCAACCTGGATTTTTTTTTTTTTTCATGTCTTTGTGAGGGTAACAACCCTTCCCACATCTTCAATCACATAAATTTTCTTATTTTGGAATTGAGTTTCTATCCACATGGGCATCTACATTAGAATAATTGCTGATTACATAAAGTGGAGCTTTGCGAACTTAGATTTTGTGAAGGAGTGAAAGCAAAATATTCCCATATTGATACATGAATTGGCAAAGAAACTTAAAACAGTGAAATGCCAATAGTACGGGGAAATGGTATTAGACCAAATGTTGAGTCCAAGCTAATTGAAAATATGTTAAGAAGTGAAACCTTGGCATCACAACGTTATGGATTGAACTGTAAAAGGGGATGTTTGCATTAATCCTGCACGACATGAATGCTTGTGCCTAGCTTGGCAAATGTAAAGATTGAAATGTTCATATATGCTCATGCATGCGTTGCAATTAAGCCATATTATGGTAGCAGCAGATTCAATGATTACTTGTTCATGAACTTATTGTAGCCGCCATTGCCAGAATCTCAATTTCAAAATAAGAAAATATATTCCGGTTTAAGATGCGGGAAGATTTTGTCATACATGCAAGACTTGTAGAAACCAAATCCATATATAGCTTCATTTTGTAGATGATAGTAACCCAACTTCAATTTATTGGATATATGGATTATAACAGAGTTCGATGTCACTTCTAACCTTTTCCCAATCCGTTGGATCACCTCACATCCACTCTCATTTTACACTAAAGATTTTTATCATATCATTTCTCATTTATTGATAGCCACCAACAGTGTTGGAATCAGATGCTAAACATTGGTTATGAAAGTCAATAAGATGCCCCCTCTTCACCCGAAAAAGTAGCCACTTGTCTGAAATAATTTTTATCACACTTTCTTCCATGTACTAAGTCATACCATGCATAGTTTATAAAGTATTATTATATCAGATATATTTGAATTTTGTACAGTTTATATAAATTGTTATTATATCTGATATATTTAAGTTATGCGAAGGTCTTGGTGTGAAAAATACGGAGATGTAGTGTTGGAAGTGGTGAAGAAAGAATTCAAAGAGCATGTTGGAGAAATGGAAAACATGCGAAGCAATGCCAAAGAAAAGCACAGCACCAACACAAAGCGCTGGACAACCTTTGATGAAGATGGCGAAAACTTACACCCAAACCTTTTTGCTCATCATCAAGATAATAATAATAATAACTCATTCCGCAGCAGCAACATCAATCCATTTTCTCATGGGAAGTGGAACTGAATGATTGAGCATGAATAAACTTCCTCTGTGACCATACCATATCTTCATGGTTAGGCACACCAAGAGGACTTGTAACTATCTATATTATGTAGCTGGTCAAAAAAAAAAAAAAAACTACTTATATTATGTATCTATATTCTATTGTAGAAACCAAAGAAGAACTTTGTTTCTTCCAAGTAAAGGAATCCAAATTCCTCTTGTCCTATGGACGCATTTATTTCCCATCTTTAGTCGGATCATCTGTTCATATCAACTTTTCCATAAATTGAGTTTACACTCATCAACCATGTTTGGCTGCTCTTCCTTTTCACAATCCGAAATTTTCTTTCCTAACCCCAGTTTTCCAAATGCCCTTCAAAATTGGATTTTCTATCCTAAGTTTTTGCCCCCATCACCGAAATTTTCTATCCTAAGTTTTTCTATCCTAAATTGAATTTTCAAAATTGGATTTTCTATCCAATGTGAATTTCCAAAGGCAGTAATTTCCATACATTTTACCCCCATCACCGCACCGAAACGCATATGCAAACACAAAAAAGGTCCACCCTGAAATTACAAGTGGATTTCCTGGGCTCCTGCATTCCTTGAAGTAAATTTCTATGTAACTACAAGTTCTTTAGGAAAATCATAACAAGATTCAGTTACAATCTCGTACTAATAGGATGCATTAGGAGCATCATTACCAAGGAGAAGAAATGAAGCTAATATTTACATGCATATGTACAACATCAGCGAGACAATGCTTCTGTGATTGAGGCAGAAGACTCGGTGAACCGTCCTCCACAAACATTGCCACAACAGAGAGGACACGCATACCCTGGTATGAGGAGAAGGGTAAAGATTATAGATACTGGGAAAGAATATAAAAGAATGACGAATCAAGTTTTAGTGACAATACCCATGTAATTTCCTTAGGCCACTTCCGTGTTTGAAGCAGAAGACCCGGTGAACCCTCCTCCACAAACATTCCCACGACAGAGAGGACATATACTGGTGAATAAGGGGAAAAAAGATTATTGACATAATGGGAATTAAGAAAGAATATAAAAGAACGAGGAATCAAGTTTCAATGACAATACCCATGTATTTCCTTAAGCCACTTATCAACGCATGCCATGTGGAATTCATGATTGCAAGGCAGAACACGAATTTTGTCCCCTTCTTCATACTCCACCAGGCATATATGGCATCTAGCAAGTTGATCATCATAAACAACAGCAGTTGATGAGTAGAACAATTCTCAACTGCTAAACATTGTTTATAGCTATATTGGTGATGATAAGATTTATGGCAAGATTGTTATTTCAATTCTTTGGTTAACGTTGTTACGTTCAACTGTTTGTTTCTGCTAGATATGTTCAATTCTATGACAAATTTCAAGCTATTTTTCATCTTGTATATATCTTACAATGCGGTACCATTCACACTATGAAATTTTGACCTTTGGATTGACTATTCGTATTGCCATTTGAGAACTATGTTTCCATCCCTTCAGTTTCAGTTTTATGCTAGACTAATAAACCAATAATAATAAAACCTAACTCAGCCCTCTTGAAAATTAAATTATGACCTCTCATATTTCAAATTTTCATAAGCATTGATTTTGTGCCTTTTGGTGAGTTGTAGTTGTACTGCATCAAATTAGGCTATTATGAAATTCAAGACGAGCAATGTGTAGGATACAAGCTTTGTAAACAAGTCCGTTAATTGAAGGGAAGTTTCTGTCAAAATTGAAACCAGTAGAGTCGATTGTATCAAAACCCTCAAAGGAGGACAACATAATTAGCGTCAAATAAAAACAAAATTCTCAGATCAACTAGAAATTGTCGGATGCACTTAGAAAGTTGTAATTGACCTGCTAAATAACCATATTCACAAAGACAAAGAACCCCACCCCCAAAACAAAACAAGGAAAGGGTTCTAATTTGACTTGATTTGTGCGCACTTATTGATTTGTGGTAATTTCACAGTTGAAACTTGAAACAATGAGACTTACTGTTCAGTATTACTAACACCATCAGCTGTGCCAACCGTTTTGTGACACTTCAGAGGGAAAGCATCAACAACTGACTCTGGCGCTGGGAGAGAGGCCACAGATAGTGAAAATGGCGTGGGTTGGCGATGAACTTCATCTAAAAACTGCAGCCAATAGATAAATTGCCGACATTTACAAATCAGACTCTTTACACTTGAATAGAATATGGATATGTTAAAACCATTATATAATCTATTGATGAAACTCAAGTTTTATGGCTGCACAAAGCATGCTAACTGAAAAGAACTAACAGCTTGATAAACTCAGCAGGCTTCACTTGCATAATATCAGAGAGGCTTCGATTTAAGTTACTATCGCACAATGTAGATCACTTAATATTAGTGGATCACAGCTTGATTTTATATCCTATAAAGAGTAAACTAGCCACAAACAAAAAGGTTGAAAGTGATAGCGACCCACTTTTACATGGGAGGTTATCTTTACACAACCAGTCAACCTAAATATTCATGATGACATGAACTCAAGCATATTGCAATTTTTAAAATATAGAACAGAATTTTCTGATTCAATTGAAGTGTCATTCTATTGGAGTTTCAATTGTATCTTAATGAACAGGATAGAGATAGGCATGTCACTCGTCTTGATCTCCACAGTGAAACAACAGAAAATATAGAACATTTAATCCACTGCTGTATGAACCCTAACCAACACAATGAGTAGAAAAGGGATTAAGGTGCAAATTTGCTCTGGATGTTTTCACTTAAGAGCGCTAGGTACCCGAAAGTTTTTTTTTTTGGAGCAAATTTACCCTGAAAATTTAAAATCATAGCAATATTGCTCCATTCCGTTAAAAATGTCATGTTAGCTTTTTAACGGTATGAGGCAATATTGCTCTGATTTTAAACTTCTAGGGAAAATTTGCTCTGAAAAAAACTTTTAGGTGACCAGCACTCCTAAGTGAAAACTTTTAGGGCAAATTTGCATCTTAACCCTACCCCATAAGTGAAACATTTATATTAAGCTAGAATGAAAAGGTGCAAACTTGATAAATAGACGTGAATTTGCAGGGTTAGCATGCCAAAATATAAAGTTAGACAAGCAAGAGTTTACTAAGCATCGTATAGATGTCTAGTATTAGAAAGAAAACAAAAAAGGGAAATGCTTCTCCTGAAAAAGGTCATGAACACAACAGCCCAAGATAGCAACAAAAAGGGCCAAAAATAGTTAAAGAAACCCAAAAAACATGTAGAATGAATTATCATGAAATAAGACTGTGGAAGATGCGACTGAATGTTGGGTACAGAAATTAAAGGCTGAAATAAAATAAGCAAGCAAACCAAGATGCAGAGATCAAACCGATTCAGAGCTCCCCCCCCCGGGGGCCCTGGCCCCAAAAAAAAAGAAAAAAGAAAAAAAAAGAATAGGGTCTACAGCTTAAATGAATTGCAACTTAAGCTAACATATTTGAGACTTGAGAGATGGATACAACCTCAAATAAAGCTTCTGCAAGCATGACTATTCTTGACATGCTAGCTCGAGTATTAGATTCCTCAGTCATGGAGAAAGGCTCACAGAAACACCTGCCATCAGGGTGGAGTCCTAATGGACAAGAATTAGTCCACCGATCTGTTTCATTAAGGCCGTCACGAAGTCTTTCCCAGATCTATATACACAAGGGAACCAAAATCCAGCTATCTAAGTCAAGTGGGTAAGCAAAGCGATTACAAGCATTCTATGCTAAAAATATTGAGAATCACCTGGGATCTTGAGTGCAGCATTCGTGCATTAGATCTGCGGATTCTACTGCCAAGATATTCAAAATCCTCTCCAACCTCATCATTTGAGAAACCACTGCTCAAATCAAGAAACCATTGGTCTTGAGATGCTATATCATCAGGATCACCAGCTGAGAAGACAATGGTTGGAGAAATACGAAACCTTCTCGAACTACGATTTGAAAAAGCATCCCAAAATGGTCTCCTACCATTTCTCCTGGTACTACGATCAATGGCATCAGTGTTGCTATAAGACAAAGTATTGGAAGATATAGTAACCACGTCAACATGAAGCACACCCTCATTCACATGTCCTCTTTCCCGGTCGGGAACAAGAAACCCTAAACTTGGAGGAATTGTTTCTTCGTGAGATTCATTTTCTTGCAACAGAGAAGTTACTGGCAGATCTGCACCTTGAGAACTGGGACTTGAATCAGAATTCTGGGAAGCTATAGCTGCACTGCTATGACTCTCGACATAATGTTCATGAGAACCGGAGTCTTCAAACACTTGAGGGGATGAACTCCTTAGATGCAATGTCTCATGAGATATTGGACGGATACTACTATCCTCTAAATTATCAATATTATTAACTGCATCCTTGTTAGCAGAACTATTTACAGAGACTGGATCTGAAGACTTTTGTTCTACAAATGAAGGACTAGCTGTGTCGCTGCTATCCCTATAAGATTCATTATAACTATGATCAGTACTCACCTCATAAGGAGGAACTAACTCCTTTCTTTTAAACAAACACTCCCTCTGATTGCTGGTTGCAACACTTCTGGAAGAATCTTGAAGATTAGCATTCTCACAGGATTGAATACTGCTGCCAAAGGAGGTTCCAGTTTGAGCATGTGAGCGGCTAATTCCAGCTTCTGTTGAATGTGATAAAGACGATTCCTCTGTAACTTTCTGAACTTGATCATTAAAGTCTGTAGCAGAGTCTACTAGAAGTTCAGTTGGATGATCTTCAATCTAAAATCAAAAATACAAGCAAATACTTCCGGCATCAATCTCTCTCAGTACCTCACAATAGGATTCCCTCAAAATTTTCACTTTGTTCAGACCAGTTAACATGGTTCAGCGCAGAAATTCAAGCTCGAAACTACTATGTTTCTACAAGCTTGTCATTAATGCACAATAGGATATCAACCAAGGGACCCTTATAATAAAACATAAATTTAGTGTGAGTACGAAGGAATACCATTATAAAATAAATGGAGCAAGAGTTCGATTAAAAATCTAGAATCATGTGAAAAAATAATTTTTAGAGCTTCAGAGATTTAGATCATTCAGTGAATTCAATCAATTTAAGGATACAATATCTCAAATCCCAACAGAAATCACTAATATAGTTACATACAGAGTTCAACCAAAAATAGATTCCATCCTACTTCAACTGCATATCGTTGAACCTCTATGTAATTTTTCTCACGACGTATTCCAGCAATCATGAACATACGATTTCGACCTGATTACCCAATTCAGAAACAAGCGGATTATAATACTCCCCCATGACATCAACCAACAGAGAACGAATTCACTCATCCAAGATCAGGATGATACAGGATCATTTAAAGTATTAAAACACAAATGATTTCGGAAATCATTTTAGTTCATCTGAACAGCCTCGGGGATCGCCAAGTTGCACTATCAACTAAATAAGCCCAATCGAAAATTGGGTCAAACTGACTAATCTCGAATCCATCAAGCCCACCAATACAAAGTCGTTGCCAAGGAAAAATTTGCGTATAAACGGGGTGGGTATTAGGGAAATAGGGCAGAATGAACAGTGGGAAACGTGTACCTCATAAGTAGCGCGAGAAGTAGATGCACCGCAGGGAAGAAGAGAGGAAAGACTGAAGCGTTTGGTGTGGTTGACTCGCCGAGAAGAAGGCCGAGAAACGTGTCGACTATTGGTACTACCCATGTTTGGGAGAGATAGTGAGGAAGAAGAGAGATGGAGGAAAAGAAAAATTGCAGAAAGAGAATGAAGGAGAGAGAAGGAGAGGGAGAGATGGTAATGGCGGCCAGAGAAGTGAACAGTGCCCCGCTGACGTTGAAATGGAAGGCGACCGACTAGGAGCGTTTAATTTAAATTGAATTTTTTTTATTTTGTGGACATTTCGGACAAGCAACTACCGCGCAATTTTCAACTTAACTAGATTTTATGCACCGTATTATGCACGGCAACGTTCACTTTTGTTCAGTTGAGGGGAGAGGGAGCAGAAAAGACGTTAGAAAAATCCTTGTAAAAACTTAGAATGGTTGAAATGATCTAAATTTGAGCGCTTATGATCTTTAAATGCAAAATATTTTTCAATGTGTGTAAATAATTTTTGAATTAATGATTATTACATATTATTGATAATATGTTATACACAATAAAAAAAAGTTATACGCACGAATCATAATTGTATTTATTTAAATTTAAGTTTTTTTAACCAATTAAGTTTTTGAATATAGGCCTTTAACCAAATTACTCAAGACTTTAATGAATTTAATTGTATCAAAAAATTGTAAATTAAAATAAAATATAGGAAAAAGAGAAGAATAAGTAAAAGGGTTAAGGATGATTTTTTGTGTGAATGTATCCGAAATAAACAATATCATCCTGACTATTAAAAAATAAATATTAACGATTAAAAAAACTAATGCTAACTATTAATGTTTATAAACAAGCGACATTTTTGTACTAAGACGAAAAAAGAGTTCAGATAATCATGGCTCTTTTGCAAATAGTTTAACCAAAGCCAATCTTAAGCCTAAGTAAAATTAATAACAACTTTGGATCTCACATTTTCATGTGACTCAAACTTCCCTTCATTTTCCTTCAATCAACTGTGCGGAATAAGAATTAATGAATATTAAAATATTTAAATAAATATTTATTTTTTTGAATAAATAATAATTTTTAAAAATATAAATAGAATTGTATATATAGGAATAACTAAAAATTTGTCTGATTTTGGAAAAATACTTTTTAATTAAAAAATAATTCCATTATAAATAAAGAAAAAATTGTTAATACAACTAGACGATTAATAATAAATTGTACAGAACTAAATTAAAATAAATAATTAAATTGAAAATATTAAAATTAATTATAGACAATTCACACAGACCATCTAAAAATGAAAAATTATAACTTTATAAAATATTGAATATTAAGAATTTATTTTTTTAATCCAATAGTGGGGATCGGATAAGGAAAAGTCAAAAAAACAGGGAGCATCCAAATCCATTATTATGATCGATGAAACTTTTTAAACTTCTAACGTATTATAGGGGCATAGACTATTGACTTTGTGGAACCAATATTTGTCTTCTTTCCTTTTCCTTTTTAAAAAAAAAGTTACCAATAGAGTAAAACATTACTAAAAAAATATTAATCGGTGCCCCAGCCCAATAATAGTTGAAAGGGTTCAGGTTAGTTAAGAACAATAATATAATATTTATATTAATATAAATTTTTTTAAGAAAAATCAAATTCCATGTTATCATAATTTTTAAAAATAAATTGCATAATTTGTTTCTTAATTCCATTGGACTTATATAGACCTATTCCGTATTTCAAAACCTTATTTTAATTTTACAGAAATTCCTTAAATTTTAGACTATTTTTTAATTGGAGACCAAAATCCTTTGTACGAAAGAATAAGTTTACATTTTATTGTAGCTTGAAATTTAAATACATTAATTTTGAAATGTAGAAAAATATCTATTAGTGTTAAGAATAAAAATAAATTTATTTCCTATCAAATGTTATTCACATTGAAGATGCCGTGTCCCGCGCCCAAATCACATCTAAGAAACGACATTTTATGGAATCAAATTTCTTTTCTTTCATTCTCTCACAGACAAAACAAAAAACGTAGATTGCTGTCTTGTGAATTGTTGGGATTTGCAGATCTTGTGAAAATATTAAAAGTTTTATGTAAAATACTCTTCTAATCCTAGATATAAAACTCATTTTATAATGTAAATTGTATTATAAAATGAATCTTATATTTAGAACTAAAAGAATATTAATTAAGAATATACAAATAAACTAGAAAACTTTGCAGTGGTAATTATTAAAATTATATTTCTAGACATATACTATGATATTAAAATTTATTTAAATTACAATACATAAATGCATAATAATATAAAAAATAAAAGAAATATTATACTATGTGTAAAAACTTATATATAATAGAAATGGTAGAATATGTACTTGATAAGATCATATTTTTAAGTTTTTAATTAAATAATGCATAAAAGAATTCATTTGTTATATAAAATTTTATGTAACCTTTTCAACATTAATAATCAAATTAATGCTAAGAAGTACATTTAGTTTTTTTGTTTATATTTTTATAGTTATTTAACTTTTTTTTTTGCCCGAATAGTACGTTATATAATTGCGTAAAGAAACAGTACAAGTCTGAGTCAACTTTTTTTTTGGGGGATAAATAAGTCTTGAGTCAGTGTTCATTAGAATATTGAACTACAAAAAGAAGTTTTGGCCGGAAAATTACAGGCAGAAGTGACCGATGATAAAAAGTGAAAAAAAACTACACATCCGGTCCTAAGGAACTTTTTCGGTGGCGGGATCTGAAATTTTATATAAATCATTTTGGGAAAAAAAAAATTCCTTCGGTCCTAAATATAAGACTCTTTTTTTAGTACAAATTATACTACAAAAAAAATTTTACATTTAAAACCGGACTAGTAATTACAGATATCGTCAAACATATGACACTCGTGCATTAATGAATCCCTTTAAGGGTAGGGGTTGAAAGTTGAAAATTGAAAATTCATACAAGTCTTTTTTTTAAAAAAAAAAAATCCCAGTGTGATAAAAATAATTCATAACACTGTCCCACAAGTTCAAAACATCATCAAGATGATAGGTTTTCTGTCAATGTTAAATGTAGATTAGTCCCAGAAGTATTCATCTCGGAACGCTGCGTATCTGGAAATTTTTTTGGATTTTCAGCAATTTTACCTTTTGCTGTTAGACTGTAAAAATAATGAAATTGATCATTAACATTTTTAATTGCTACGATTTTAAATTCTTATAACAATATTGAACCCAGAAATCTTCCAAGACAAATTTACATCTTAACTCTTTTCTTTAGGAGGAAGAAGAAGAGATAAAAGCACATGACAGAGGCCAGGGTCGAGGTTCCTAATGATTAAGATGAGAATGGTTCGATCATGAAGAGTAGGGATTATGATGACGATATGCGTGGAATCAGCCAATCAGGCTTCTTCAGTTCAAAACTCAGCCTCGTGATTGGCCAAAACAAATGGGGGCTGGCAGATCTTCTTGTTGAATCTTGGTTGCTCAAATGGTTAACATGAGAGGAAAGGAAAGGTATTCTACAGAGACCAGAGGACAGAAAGAAACTTGTATAATTTCCTGTGTACTAGTTCTGTTGGAGCTGCTCTTGGGCTCCCTTTTGGCGCAACAGAAGCTATTTTATTTGCGGCTTTATCCTTGATTCATCATTCCTGTTGCTATAACTGAGATCAGAGGAGCTGAGCACTGAAAAGATAATCACATATTTGATATCTTCATAGATGAAACCAGGAGAAATCCATTCATGACTATTATTGTCATTCTTTCTCGCCATTCTAAGAAGACAACTGTATAAGAACGATCTGATTCAAATGAGCTAATTGAATAAGTTAAAAGGGTTCTGTAAGAAGCAACAGCAGCAAGCCTTCAGTGAAAGTTTGACAGATTAACAGTTTATTTACAGTGCTTTAACTTTATGCCCATGGAAATAGGACTACAATGCATCAATTATGTGTAACCCCTGTACAACTCACACGATTCCATCCTGCTTTGCCAATAATAATGAGAAAAATTGCTTCAAGATTATGATAAGAATCTCTTTAGAGTCATGGCAACTCACTGTTCTTTCCCCATCCTCCTCAGAAACAAGGCTTAGCATCAATCAGTAAAATCAGCAGCTGGAAGGCACTTTCTGTCTGATGCTTGAATATATATATATATGTATGTATGTATGTATGTATGTATATGTACATAACCGCTCAAAGGAAAAGAAAACAGCAGCTTCACAGGGAATCTTTCTATCCTTCTAACAGAGCTCTTAGATGCTGGAGTCCCTCAGCTGAAATGCTTCTCCTGACTCTTGACCTTTCTACCACCACAGGGGGCGGCGGATCTGCATGGAAACAGACCATCACAACGGTTAAGTTGTCTGTTGATCCTCTCTTCATGGCTTCCCCTACCATTTCCTTGCAGCATAGTTTCACATCATTGTGCTTTCGAAGCCGCCTCCTAGCAAAATCAATGGCATTTTGGCTGGTAAATACATCCCAGATTCCATCACACCCAATTATCAAGAACTCGTCTTCTTTAGTTAATGTCATCAATTTAAGTTCTGGCTCAGCGGTCAATGGCCCTCCTTGTCCTCTTTCACTCATTTCCTTCATTCCTTTGAGGTGCCAGTCGCCTAGAGCACGCGTGACACCAAGTTTGCCATTCAGGTAACCATCATCATCAATAAATCCACCTAAGGATTCAATCCTCGTCCTTTCTTTCGTACACAAGGGTCTATGATCTTTGGACATTTCTATAGCCCCTCCACATCGGGACAACACTGCCCTGCAGTCTCCGGCATTGGCTACAAGCAAAGACCTGTACCACAAAATGATGGCATTCCTTTTTAAAATTAATCTCATTCAAATGATGCTTCCATAATCAGTACTCAACCATATGTATGTTTCCCTTCTAACTTTTTAAAACAAGAACAGAATTTGCTTTTCATTCTCAGAGTCCCTTCTCATTTCAAATTCTTTTAATTCTGTCGACAAAAAGGCTCCTAAAAGTAAACGAATCAAGATTGCTGCTACTCAGCATCCGATGGAGAGGGGGGAGGGGGCACAGAGTGCAAATACAACAAGAAATTCTCAAAGCCAAGATATAAAACTCAGCATTTGCTAGGATCTGTTTCTTTTAAGTGTGCCATGCAATTGAGGGAGTAAAATGAATGTGATTAACTGCTGATGAGATATTTTACCTTCAATTTGATAAATAGAAAGACAATATTAGCACTGGTTAACTGCTAATGAGATATTTTACTTTTAATTTGATAAATAGAAAGACAATATTAGCATTGTTATGAACACAAAAGAACAGCGGAGACAGTTGCTCACCTGCCATGTACAATGGCGGTTAGTGCAGTTGTACCAGAAGGCATGCAAGACTCAAGAGAACAAGACTTTGCAAATGCAGCATCAGTCTCCAAGAATGACCTTGTGACTACCTTCTCCATCTCCAAGGGAAAGTCAGCATCTTCAACAATCAGTCTTGGCAGATAATCACGGACAAATTTTGCAGCACTCTCACCATCATGTCCATCAAATACCTGCACATCAAGTTTTTTAGCCATTACATGTCAAAATCTGACCAAAGGGTGCATATTCTGCAAGATAAAAAGAACAAAAGAACTAATAGTGTTTGAGTCAAGTGGAAGAAACTCTATTTTCCTTAAGTGAGGTGAGAGTTCAAATCTTATAAATGGAAAAAAATCATAATGGGAAAGTAAATTAATTTCCCCCAATTACTGAATGCTTCCTTGCGTTCTTCTAATTGGTTTTATCGACACACGCAGACTAGTTAGATATTTTGTTTCAGTGCATATGTAAAATAACAAGGGAGAATTACAATCAAGTCCCAAGGAAAAGAAATAATTACTAAAAAGTCCCAATAACAACCTAAGCAGCCTGTAATGACTAGTTCTAGAGTAGAGAATAACAACCTCTAAAACTTGTTTTGTAATTTTTTTTCCTTCCTTAGAACCTCGTAATTCTCCCAAATAGCAACCATGTTTCTAATTAACTCTTTTTATTTAAGGAAAAGGATCATGACAAGAAGAGGGAGAAAGTCCTAGTCTCATCCTTAAAATTTGTTCTTCAAATGGAAAAAAAGAGAGTTTGATGCTCAATCTTTAATCACGTGGTTAATAAATGAAGACCAGCCAGTAATCAATTAGTGGGAGATGTTCATCAAGTGTTAGCTTGGATTCTTAATAATAATATCATATACTGGTGTCTGGTCCCAAACTTCAGGATACATAAAGAGTGTTGAAACTTCCTAATGTTATCACAAAATAAGATGTTGATCAAAGAATGTACTTGAAATTGATGACAGCAACAGAAACTAGTATAATTAGTTAGATGGCTTACTCCATAAAAGGAAACTGCTCCCTCACTGATGACTTTGTACCCAAATTCCTTCGCCATGTCTCCAACACATATGTGGGTGTCCTCCATATAAGGACGATCTCCAATATCTGACCACTCACCAGACCGACGAACAGGGATGAAATTCATCAATGTCTGTCTTTCGTCTCCAATCACTGCATCCTCGCCTATGCTTTCCAGCTGAATGTGCCAAAGGAAGAATGAAAAAGAATTTGAGACAAAATGATGATAATAAGAACCAATAAACAATGAAGAAGAATAAAGCAATTAAACACGTTCAGCATTACTTGAGAGCCATCAAAAGTAAGATCAATCAATCTCAGATACACAATCAGATGAGTTAATTATGGAAATGGACGATACAATTATGAAGAACAAGAAGTGATACAGACTGAACTAAAACTCGAGTAGAAAAGGAAATGCTAACATAAAGAAAGGCAATTTGTATGTCATCCTACTCCCGGAGACATACTAATTCCTAAGATAAACAGCTGTATCTTCAGCAAGACTTTCGTAGTCCCAACCAAGAGATCACAGGACATCACAAGAACAAATTATCATCATAAAATTCGCAAGGACGGGAATCTCACATGGAACAAGAATTATTTAATAGAAATGCGTTCCACATTCCTGTAGCACTAGCACTTAAACTATTACCAGTAGATAGGCATCATGGTACATGTAAGCTGTAGCATATTCCTATTTCATTTATGGAGAAGCTGTTCTTCTGTCAAAGAACATTAAGGAGAATCAATATAACAAAGTCTAAACAACTAGAAGAGAATCTATGACTTGACACAGAAAAGGAAGTGAATAAGCAATAAGGTTAAGCTAAAGTTGGAGGATCGTTTCACGTGAGGAATGCAGTACCAATTGATCTCAACCAAATCAGAAACATTGACTAACTCTAAATAACACCGGACAATAATATATCTAAGACAAACAAAAAAAGACAATACAGCAGCCATCCAATAAAAGGCCTTAACCCAACGAGGAAAAACAAGAAAAATGGCTTCCCATTTGACATGAAGAATCGAAAGAGAAATCAAGAACAAAACTACCAAATCAACAAAGAGAGGATCGGAGAACCGAATACTTACAGGAAATGAATTTCCAACACTTGAAGTTGTCAAAGGAGGTTCCTTTTCCCAGTTCTCCATCTCGGTACGCAAGAAATCACAATGCAAAGGCCATGTCCTCCTTCTGCTCTCATGGGTCTCCATATCTTCACCAACTTGCTCCGCGTCTTGCACGCCCATGGTGACAAACAACTTGCAGGCCTGGAAGAGAAAAAGTTAAGAGATTTGGATATAATTCTGAGTATAATGGAGAGAGAAAAGAAGATTCCGCGAATATGTTGGGAAAAAAAGGAAGGAAGGGAGGTGGTGTGCGAGTGTATAGTAATTTCGAGACAGTGGGAAAAGGATCGCGAATGAGTAAACTTGAGATTTTTTTTAATGAAACGTGGCTGGAAATTGATTGGTTGGGTTGTGTTATAGTATTATTTATGAGGCGACTTTGGTTTTAGTTGTTGGTTACGGTCTCGGACACGTGTCCTTCTCGGTTTTTGGCACCAACCACAATGCTTCTCTTGATATTTTCACGGTAATTTTTTTTCCAGATGGCAAAAAAGAAATAAAATATTAAAATACAAAAGAAATGAATATTTCCATGTTTATAATCTCAGGCTAAAGATCTCTAAACAGTGAACAGAACCTCTTTTTTTTTGGTTCCATCCTCTTTCTTTTTTTTTTAATTATTTATTTTTTCTTTTTTAATTATTTCAATAGTTTAGATTTTAATTTTATATAAACTATTTATAAAAAGATTTTAAAAATATTTAGCGCATTTACAATCCATTAGAATTAAATTTTAATATTAGTTTGTAATTTATTATTTATTTATTTTTATAATTTAATATATTAATAATAGTTTTAAAAAATTTAAATTTGAAATGTTAAAATGTCAATCTAATGATTAAAAAGAAAGAGAAGAGAAGAAGATGAAAAAGAAAGAAGAGAAGTTCCAAACCACTCGCTATGCAGGAAATTTTACGTTTTCCACGCAAGTAAGGGAATCCCAAAACTTCTTCTTTTGGGGGAAAAAAAATCCCCAGACACTTCTAGGATTGAGAGAGTTAGTGAAAACTGAAAATGTTAGGTTTTTTTTTTTTAATCTGATAGAGAAGGGATTAATATGATCAAATAATATAGGTTAATTTTATATTTTAAAATTGATTGATGATAATTTAATCTATTTGGTTGACTTTTAACGGACTTTTTAGGTTGATTCCGATATTACAAACTGAACCAAAAATTATTTTAATAATTTTCGATCAAAACCAATATCATTTTATTTTTAATGCATTAAAAATATGAAATATAAATAAAGTTTACCTCTTCACACAAAATGCATATGTTATTTATTAATAAATTTTCATTTCTAACCATTACTTTATATTTTCAATATTATATTTTATTCCACCCAATGATTTGAGATCTTAATCAATTAATTATAAAATTATGTGATTAATTTGTTTATTTTTAGTTGAGAGATTTTTTTTTTTTTGGACTGAAGTTGAGAGAGGGTTTGAATTTGAATGGCAGGAGAAACGAGCACTCGCTTAGAGGAAAGTGATGAACATTTAATCCTCTATAGACAAAAATGAAGTACACGTGGAAAATGCAATAGAAAGCTAATATTTAAAATAATAAAGGGCCTCCATTATTGTTATTGATGGTGACTCTCTTCATTTGTACGAAAATGCCTGAAAATTTGAGCCTTGAAAACGGCATTTACAATTTATTAATCAAACTTAACAATTTTTTTTAACTATATTCATATTTAACATATACAACCTATAATAGAATAATAACCTATATAAGAATAAATAAAGACTAAAATAATGCATCCATATTAAAGATTTCATAGTGACTTATAAAACAGAGAAAAAGAAACATTCACTTTTATTTGCCTGATCCTATTTCGGACTTTTTTTGTTTTTTTGTATGTGTTGTTGTTTAATGTATAATTCATCATTATATAAAGAAAATTAAACAAAGTTTTATTGAGAGAGGGGGTAGGTGCGTGCCATTTACTTTATTGGTTGCTTGATTGCTGCAGCTAGCAATTCCCAAATTTGTGGCCATGTTTTCTTCATTTCTTCCTCTTTTTTTTGTGTGTGTGAATCCATTCTCAAGTTTCTAGAAAGTCAAATAGGGTAGGTCACAGAATCTAATTACTTTTCTGCCCCATCCAATCATATTTCTATTATTTACCCATCAAATGTTTGCATCATTATTACCAATTAATTAACTTATCTTGGGAAAAAAATTGAATTCTTCATTATTTTGTTTTTTTTCTTTTTTTAACATATACACCCCGTATCCCAATCAACCCTTCATGAATCAAGTTATGATAGGACCCATATGGGTAGCAACCCTATCACCTACACTGCTGCATGTATAAAAGATCGAACCTGTGACTTCTGATTAAGTTGGAACAATTACTACCAGTTGATTGAGTGCTCGGTGGTCATTATTTTGTTCCTTTTATACTCACTTGTTACCACCCCAAAAAAAAAAAGAAGCTTAGATATGATTCATATTTAGATGAATCGTTTCGTAAGAATTATGTTTTCATATATAAAAAATTAAAAAAAGAAGTTTAGTTAGGATGGGCTTTAGAGACTCATCAAAGTACTAGGGTATATCTTCATATTTAAAGAAAGTTTACAAATGTATTGATAGATTGCTTACCTATAAGACCTTTCAAATAGGCTGTATGATTTGAACTTACAGTCTTATAGATCATGAGCAAACTTCTTACTAATTGAACCAGTGTTTGTTGGTTCAAAGTGAATTTTTTTTCTGAGTTGCATTTTATCAATTAAAATTGACTTATATTTCACTAAAAAAGCCAGTTTGAATCCCCATTTAGTTTTAGTAACCCAAAGACTTCAAAATGTTGTTTTAGGTCTAATTGGCTTTATGAGAAAAAATTTATTTGATTTAAAGTCAATCCAGATATAATTTTTAGGCTGAAATTGGCTTTTGAATTTTTAGACGGGCTTTTGAGATTATGAAATCCAATCTGAACAAATCCAAATTCGTCATTTTAAATTTGAATCAGATGTTGGTTAGATATGGCTTCTTCTGTGTTGGTGTTCATTTGAAAACCAATCACTATTTAAGAAATGAAGAGTTGAACAAGGTTTCTATGAATAAACGCCAAGTGGATTCGTTGGCTTAACAATTAAATTGCAACATTTGAAATTGCTTTGCCAAATAATAAATTGAACATTGTGGGATTGCAAGAGATTATGTTGGATTATTGTACAGAATATGCCAGGGGTGTAGCTAATATAATAATTAAATGCAAAAACAAATATATGCCAACTAAATCTGTGTCATACGCAAAAACTAAAAAAATAAAGGAAAAATTACTGTGATTTCAAGAAATGAATGTAATTATTAAAAAATTGCATAATAATTTAATATTAAATTTCAGCGTAGAAAATAATAATAAATTTATGTTGTTCATTTGCCATTGAAATTTTTGATAATTATACTATTTTTCTGGCAACATCAAAGTGATTCCCCCAAAAGTAAATCTCCAACTATATGCTTAAAAGACAAAGCCACTCCACTTGTCATATTACTTGTAATTACATTACAAAATGAGTGTTACATTAAAAAAAAAAAAACTTTTTTGCCAAATAAAATAAAATAAAATATACATGCAACTTAAGAAAATCAAGTTTGTATATCTAAATCCTCTAGGGTATCTTTCACAGAAAGGGCAGACAAGTTGGATAAGAAACAACTACAGTTTATGCTTCAAATATTAGGTAAACTTGTTATCAGTATACCTTTCTCTGTGTTATTTTTAATCTTTCTGCCCACCTTGAATCTTCAAAGACTTTCTGCTTTTCCTTTGTTGCTAACTTCAGAAAAATTTCAACAGTCATAAAAAATTGTAAGGATTTACATGTAATTCCAGCTTTTAGCCTAAGCTCAACTTATTAAGGCTTGGCTAGGCCCGACGTGGCCATAACACAGATGTGAAAAAATAAATTTTGGAAAAGCCAGGCTTCCCATGTCTCAATCTTGTTTGTTTGGTTCAAAAATTGATTAGCCTCAAAGTAGTCACAAACAGAAGTTGAATCTAACAAAAGAGGTTAATCTCTCACATCATGATAAACTAAGATTCCAATCTCTATTGAAAGATATACCTACACTCCAACAATACCTTGAAAGAAAATAACTGTGCCTTGCACAAAAAAGAAATAAAATAAAAGAAGCCCCAACATAGCATAGTCATACTTGATTGGTAACTACACACATCTTTTTGGATGACAGTTCTAGTTACTTGTATTACCAACAAGCCGTTGTTAGTTAAAATAATAAACAGTCTTACTTCATTAAAAAAAAAAAAAAACATAAATTCGAAAGCACGCCCTTCACTTACCTCTTTAATACTACTTACTTAGAGCCAAAAAAAATCTAATGACCTGCACCATTCACTTATTTCTTTAATACTATTTATAAAGCTTTCAATGTATTTTTACTAAAACTAAAAAAAATTAAACCTTATTAATTCTGTCTTAAAATTTAATAACTTTTCTAACTTTAATAAGTGAGAAATGAGAAGTTCAACAAAAATAACAATATATAAAATATTAAATTAAGATAAGATCAAACTTTTAACTTGGGTTAATATAATTTCTAATCCTTCAAATTACAATCATTTTAATTGTTTCCTCAAATTTCAAACTACATACTACTTCTGGTCTTAATTAGAAGAGCTAATTAACTAATTTGAGGAGATTAAAAAAATAAATTAAATTAGTTATTTATAACAAATAGGTGTTGTCTTTCCTAAAATATCCTTACTAATCAAGTATATTGGCTAGAACAATCATTGTTAGAAAGATTACTTTTGGGAAAAAAATACATAAATATGAGAAATAAAATGAATTAAGATCTTATATTTAAAATCAAAATAAAAGTCAAATAAGATCTTATATTAAGAACTAGATGTAGTATTTTGACGATAAAATGGTCCACAATTTTATTAGATTTAGAAATAAATGTTTTAGATGAAAAAAAAAATACCTTAATAGATCATAGTTTAAAACTTAGAGGAATCAAAATTAAAATAAAAACAAAATAACTCGTATTAAAGACAAACTACTCTCCGTGCCTTGAGAATTTGTTTAGAACGCAAGACTATCCAATGCGTGAACGGGACCCAGCAT